CCCCTGCCTGCATCGACACAGCCACCAACCTTTGGGTACCACCATGAAATGGATGAGCTTTTCAGCACTCGTGTGGTACTGGTAGTTGGGGAATCTCAAGGTGCGGTTGACCAAGCACTTGAACGTCCCTGTGTCATTGAAAGTGACATTGAGGATGAAGATGGAGCCGTCCTGGAGGTCCCTGGTCTTCTTGCTGCCATTCCAGGCCACTCTGTCATTAAAGCGCTCATCTACGATCGAGGGTGTCTCGTCTTCGTAGCGGTAGATCTGTCGGAAAGACGGGGGACATCGCCGTGCGTTTTAAAAGGGTTCAAATGAAGCTCTCTGGGGAAGCCTGTGCTCCAGGTCTTGTAGTGTGGAAAGCTAAATAGGGGTCACCCCCTCCAGCTCTTCCAGAGCTCAGACACTCCCCGCTCCGAGCAAGGGGCCAGCCATCTGGGAGCAGGGAGCCTGGCCCCTGCACTGGTGGGGGTGGAGAAGCACAGAAATCTGTGAGTTTTGCAGTAAAGAGAGCCTCAGCCCAGACAGGCAGCTAGCAAAGCTAATTCAGGCCTGTTTGAAGTAAACTGAAGGGGCGGTCAGTGATCGTGATGTGCGGGCGATGTGCCGGCGTTCCTCACCAAGATGTAGTCGGTCTCCCGGGCCGCTCGGAAGTACCACTCCACGCTGGCTTCGGCCTCCACCTCCCCCCTCATCTTGCAGGAGATGCAGCCCAGCTTGAAGCCGTTCCCCGCCACCCCCTCGGAATCGGAGTCCACCTCCACGCAGGCGGGCCGGCACGCCGGCGCAGCTGGGGGACCGACAGGGGGACAGTGAGAGCGGGCGGGAGCAGGGAAGGCGGAGAAGGAGGGGAGAGGGACGCAGCGAGAGGAACAGGCCCACGGAGACTGTTGGCCTGTTCGGCACTCGTTGGCTTCCTCGCGTTGTCTTGAAGGTGTCAAGTTTGTGTCCTCGTGAACTTCTAAGGCATTTTCAGTGTTCGTTGTTTCCCATTTAGTTTCTAGAGATGATGTTTTTGCTACCTACACTTGTTAAGTGTTTGCCAAGTTCGGATTTGTATCCAAACCTTTTTTACTGTCTTTCTCTTGTTGCTGTTGATCAGGTGTTTGCTGTAGTGTTAGCTAGTCCTCCTATTTCACAGTTATCAACCTGATTGATAGCTGTACCAGAGTCTAGATCATCGATTCAAATTCTGAAGAGCAGTGGTACTAATATTGATCCTTGTGGTACTCCACTACTTCCATCCTCCAAATCAAATCATGCATCCTATAACTTTACAGACTGAAGAGATGAAAATGAATTGCATATTGCTGTTAATCAAAGGAGCATTTTAACTAGAACTTAAAAGTTATACTAAATGCAACGTATCTAGACAATTATTCAACCGTTGCTAAGAGCATTTGAGGTCAATTATAACCGCCGCCAATGAGTGTGACTTACATTGCCAGGTGGTGATCAAGGAATAAAATGATTTGATTTGTCGTGTTAATAAAGTGGCACTAGTGAGCAGTATCTGCAGTAGCTCCTAGAGGCTGACAAGTTCATCACAACCATAAAAAACGTAACTGAAATTTTAAAACTTTAGTACTTTTTTGATACGGAGATATATCTCCGGCTTCAGGCTGGAAGAGGAAGCTTAGTTGAAAAAAACATGTTGTAAACAACACAACTGTAGATATAAGATACACAGCAAGCCAGTGCAGTAAATATCATGCAGTAAAGGAGCTGCCTACACAACTGATGAATCAGCACAGAGCTGGAGTCTGTCAGAGCTTAAGCATCTCAGACCAGGTGCCTGTAGCTACACAGCCCTCTTAGTGCATCTCACTGAGCCTCCTGAATTTTTCATGAGGTGAAAACACAAGCTCAGACTTCTGACTCTGTGTCTGATACCCTACACTCCGAGAGAGAGAGAGAGAGCACGGATCAATAGCGATCTTCAGATTAAACCGTAGTTCTGGAGGGTGCTCACTGGCAAGGCACACATGTGTGTGCTTGTGGGGAAAGAGTTGGCACTAGAGTTCAGTGGGTTTCAGTTGTTTGTTCTAGGATGTCCCAGGACAAGAGGTGACGGGCTATTGCCCAAGATTCCGGCAGCAGCAAATGAATTTTGGGAGCCTAACAGTTCAGGTGCGGAGCTGCGTCAGCATGCATAGGCTGCAAAGGAACAATTAACAGGTTTATTCCATGCTGAAAAGAGAAGAAAGAAAACGCAACACAACGTTTCAGCCATGGAGCCTTCTTCAGGTGTGAGGGTGTGATTTTATATAACGTACAAACAAACCACTCACCTGCTATGATTAGTGGCAGAAACCATGCTGCACAAGAGCATTTCAGACATGGGTTCAGAGTTACACAGCACACGTTAGCACCGAGCACGAAATCAAGATAATTCAGTGTCTCTTAACCATCATGTTTTGGCATGATTCCCCATTTCTACACCGCTCTGTCAGTGCAGTGCTCCTTTTATTGTGGCTCCCCATGCTATAGAATGTTCTACACCTGACTTCAGAGGGATTCTAAAGAATAAATGCACACAAGTTGGACCGCCCCTCCACCCTCTTCTCAGACTAGGAACCGGGCAAACTCAATGGGAAAATCCATTTCATATTAATTTTTTTTCCTGCCACCCACAGAAGGACAGTACTTCCGCCTCGCAGAAAAATCCCTCTAAATCAAACAGCCAGTGGGAAACACACGCTCAGTGTGGGAAGGGAGTGGATGGATTGTGTGCCGTTTCTGAGGGCTTCTCCTTCTCAACCTAGAAGAACCCAACAGTGCCCAAAACACCAGACAAACCAGATAAACTGCCAATCGGCTCAGCCCTTCTCTGCATTATACTCAATCATATTCGACACTGACCTCCCCAGGCATCCCTGCAGTTTCCATACCGACCAATGTAAGTATTTCTAGACTTTTTAAAGCATTTGTGCCGTATCAGACAGTAAGGTTGAGCCATTCTGGCTGAGCAGAAGGTCACCTGCTTCCAGGGGGATGAGGGGTAAATTTGCAGTCTAAAGAGCAGATTAACGCTGTCCATTTGAGCTCAGTTATGGGATAATATTTCTGGTCTACATTGTTAGCTTTCGTCCATGCCTGGTTTTTCAATGCATAGAACTGCATTTTGCATCACTTTCTAAAGAACTAAATTTACGCTCCATCTTGCCAAATACAGATGTCTGCTACTCAGTGCACAGAAATCCCCTGCACACACGATGCCCTTGCTTTTGATCATAACAGGAAATGTGCAGGCCGTGTCAGTCAAGGCCGGGAGGACATGAACCGAACAGTACATTTTTGGATGTTATGTTTTAGGGTCAGGAGTGCATCTTAGTAATGTATGAGTTGATTCTCTGTGACACTCAAACAGCTCCTAATGTACTGCTGCCTCTTAGGCAAATATTAGCCTAAGTGCTAACGTAGGCAAACCTCAGCAAAAAGCAAGCTTGGACTCTAATAGCAATCTTAAGTAGCCTGCTCCTTGACGCTGGATGGGTTAGGCGTTTGAGAACCTTATCTTTCCGTTTCTGCTTTTGGTCAACGTTGTAATATCTGTGACGCCACCCTCTCACGTCTGTGAGAGCGTCATTGATACAGCACCATTTGTAAGTGGATTGTTTTTAATATTCTGTTTTATCTGCTGTTGGTTTTTCGTCATCAGCATGCTCAATGACCACTAGCTCACTAACACCGACTCTGGATGTTACTGTATCAAAATCCATTCTAATGGTGCAGCTAATATGTGCAACCTCAAACTATGTCCCCCCCGTCGCTTCCTGTCACTGGTTTCATCCAACCTCCCCAGCCCAAAAATAGCAACCTAGGCGAAATCAATAAACACATGTTTTGGACACACATGTTCAAAAGAGATGTGGTTATCATCCATTCTTTATATCTGATTCTTTCCAGGTGTGAAGGAATTTTACAGCCTGGATTTAAAAAAAAAAGATCTGACGCAGGCTGGTAGTCTAGATGCCCAAACAAGAACTGTCCTCAGATCTGCTGTGTTTAATTCTGGACTGGATTCTCTCAATCAAGACAAATCAACTGGGGTCCAGTCTTGCAGTTTACACTAGTGTGCATTTTCATACCAGCTTCCTTCTAAATGAAATTACTTGTTAAGGGTCAAACTAACAACTAGGGTCCTGGTTGCCTTAAAGTTCTGCAATGGCATGAGGCAAAAAGAGACGATTCTTTACAGCATGTTAAGCTATAAGGCTTCTCATCTGCCAGAAAATCCAAGCACTTTATAGTTGGTAAAAGAAGGGGTTCAGTTCTCCCTTAGCTAGGTCAGGGCTGGTAGATGGTAGTTATTTAATAAAAGAAAAATCAAGGCTGGACCTGCTTGAATGGGAGCACATAGCCACCATTGAAATAAAGGTAACATGCACTGTAGAATTTAATGTGCAAAAAATCAATCAAATATGGAATAAGACCAATCAAAGTTAATGGGCTTGTTTTTTTGGAGAGACAAAGTAGGCACAGCCATGCTAAAAACAACCTGTCATTTTGCCAGGGCAAACAAGGAAAAGCAATCTACTATCTATTTACTGAGCATTATACAGGAGCCCTGGACACAATCAGGATATGATCTGAAAAAGAACCATCTGTGTTGCACGGAAGGGACCTTATGATTTTAAAACCCCACCAATAACAGAGCACATTACAGAGGTGACACATGCAAAACTCTTATTGTTCCTGGCTGTGTTCATACTTCACGCAAACTGATACATTATCTCTAAACCACTACAGATATGTTCACAGCCACGTCACCCTGCTAGCTCCATAATCTGGGATGTGTGAAGCTGGAGCCGTTACCAGAATGATTTCTTTTTTCCTGACCATCGCCAGGACCGTACAGTATGCAGTCGGTGTGGGTGGTTATATAAGAGAAGCTGAGTACGAGAATCACCATCCCCTCCCCCCCGACTCCCACCACCCCAGATCAACAAACAGCAGAGATTAATCAAATAGAGTCGGGATCAGAGGTGAAAACACTCCGCCTGAATGTTCAAAAACCTGCACATGGACAGCTGGCCCGGCTTTCACTAGGCAGCAGATGGTGAGCAAAATGAAACAGTCCACCCCTGCTAACCTCTGCTTAATGAAGACCCGATAAAGCATCGGTCACGCAAGAGTCTGGCTTTTCCTACCAGGGAGAACACCAGCAACGCTACCATTCCCACACACAGGCTGTATGTTGGGTTAAGCTGTTTTATTCCCTGATGTTGAGCTCCGCTGGGATTGCACAGTCCCAGTGAATCTCTGTCTGCTGAATTGAAGACACTGGTGCATACAGCGCTCAGCTCCTCTTCTGTCAGCCTGGGGGCTGCCATGATGATGACAGCACCAAATTTTACTGCCTACTTTCTCTGCTTTAACTCCAGTCCAATTATATGGGGCTCCGTTATGTCACCATGTTTGCCAATCCTTCTGCCCCATGTCCTGTTCTCTGCATGTTGAAAGGGCGCTATATTATCTTTCTCTCCTTCTGGTCCTGTTCCAGGGCTCTTTTGTTTCTCTTGTTCTACAGTATGTTCCAAATTTCTGCTGCACATAAAAACACAGTGGTCAGATAACGGAGAGTAATTTACGTGAGCAGTTCATGAAGACCTAAAACAGAGGGCTGACATCTCAGCCAAATGGTTTGTTCCCTCAAAGTTATTTCAGATCAGGGGGGACATGAACACCCAGCCCCACTGCAGAACTGAAGGATTGGAGAAGCTGCTCCCTTCATCGTGAATGTCATCTAGTTACTCAGGCAATTAATGAAGGGAGACCTTGGTTGGACACACTGCGTCTCTGCAAGAGCTAAGCACCATACCTCTGACATACTGTAAGAGCTCTCATGGTGTACAATGACAATGTTACCTATTATTTTTCTGTTACTCTCCACATCTCTTAAGAGTGATGAAAAACCTTTGGCGTGGCAGGACTGGTACTTGCTTTGGCAAACCGGATGCTGGGAGTTGGGGTGCCTCTGACACACAGAAGCAGTTACGATTGTTCAGCCCAGCAGTGGGTTCAGAGAGGCTCTGTTTTTCACACTCTGGGCCCGCAGGGTGAAAAGAGGCTGAGGCATTGATGCTGTGCATTTCAGAAGACAGGCTTTTATCAGCTTCATCATCCCTAGCGGTGAAACAGGGGCTGGCAGAATGAGTCATGCCAAGTACTGCTGGGCAATTCTGAAACTATAAAACATAAGCACTGTCACAAACCAGATGAGGCCTTTCAGCCCGTCTGTTCTGAATGGAAATCAGTAGTTAATTGATCCAAGGGTCTCATCCAGTCATTTCTGGAATGAAACCAGGACATCGGCTTAAATAAAATGGCAGCAGCTTTAGCCACACTCCCACGGGTCTTTGGGTAAAGGAGTTCTGAAATCTCTATTCAAACAGGACACTCCCTTCAGACTAAAGAGACTCAGTTCTTCCAGCCTGTCAGTGCGGGACCCTCCCTTCAGACTTAAGAGACTCCGTTCCTACAGCCTGTCAGTGTGGGACTCTCTCTTCAGACTAAAGAGACTCAGTTCCTCCAGTCTGTCAGTGTGGGACACTCCCTTCAGACTAAAGGGACTCCGTTCCTACAGCCTGTCAGTGTGGGACTCCCTTCAGACTAATGAGACTCAGTTCCTTCAGCCCACCAGTATAGGTATACACATGTACTTTCCCTTAAACTCCAGAATGTATCTGGTTGCTTTTTTCTGATTCCAATATCTTTTTTATATTGTGGTGATTATATACAATATTCTAAATGAGACCATGCTATAGGTCTTTATACAATTTTAACATAATATCCCTTGATTAAATTCTATGTGTTTTCTATTGCTTCCCCAAAAGGTGTCAGCACAAGCACCTAAGTCTGTCTATCTTATCTAATTGTAACGTTGGACGATGCCCTTGAAACTAAGAACCCATCTTGTTTTTCAGTGCGGGTTGCATAATCTTAGTAGGTGGCGGACCCTGAGTTATGCAACCTAAATGAGTGAGATCAATAAAACAGTGCAGCCGTCTTCCCTCTTTTTATTAATCTGCTGACTAAATACTTTGAAAGGGGAAGTTTCTTTTTTTCAGTCCTACTGCCGGATCAACTCTTACTGTATTATAGGGTGATGTGTACAGGCTTCAGAACACCATAATAAACACAGATCCATCTTCCATCATGCTCTGATCTGTGGAATTCCAGATCCATACTGCAGCCTGTTTCCTTTTAGGGATTAAAGCCCAGCCACCACTAAACCCCAGGCAGAGACAGGGGCACCAGCATGCACTGAGCTAAAACAGCAGAATCCCACCGAAGCGATTAAGAGAGCAGCACACACTGTTTTTATTCTTGAGGGCTTCCAGGTTTTTATTTCTGCATTTGTTTAGTCTTATTTATTCATCCTCAGTCCACCATTTAATGTGATCTGAGGCGAAGTGGTTGAGCAGCTACGCTTTAGGGAAAGACTTCATCGAGCTATTCTCTGAGGGCTGGTTTTTAAGCCTGATTTACTCAGAAACCAGAATACACTCAAAGAAGGGAGACCCACATTCGCTGATAAGGCAACCACTTAGCTCGGGAAACAACACCGACAAAGGTCCCCTAGTCGTGTCCTCTCCTGCCCCTCCCTGAAAGCCCTTTCCAGGAGCTGTGTTTGCACAGGACTGGACAGCTCACTTGCACTGAGCTCTGAGCTCCAAGCTCCGCCGATTGAACGGTTTGGGAATTGTCCACTTTTGTCACAACTAAGCCAAGACAGGAATAACAGCCTTCGGAAGAAGCATCTGCATCAGGCCCTGCTTGACATAGAAGGCTATACCAGACTTTGTCAGAGTTTGTAATGTTTTATGCTCAGGACTGTGCCACTCATGTGTCGCCTCCATTTAACAGCTGTTCTGTACAATTCTTGGTCGGGATGGGGCCAGTGCAGCATAATGAGTAAGTCTCTGTATAACGGGTGGGTTGTGCTTTCAGTTTTCTGCTGGAGAAACTGCTGTTGCACCTTGAGCAAAAGACTTTACCCCAGTCACTCCAGTCTGGCCAGCTGTATAAGTGGGGACCGGCAGTCCTTTGAGGGTTCACTTGGTGCTACAGAAACCAAACATAGAAACGCCTGTAATCAATGCGTCCATTTTCTAACTGCTTCATCCACCTCCGGGTCGTAGGGGAGCCAGAACCTATCCCATCAAGCAACGGGGAGCAAGGTGGGGTACACAGTGGACGGGACAACAACCAATGTGCACACCCTGACACCTGGGACAGGTTTTCCGAAAAAAGGAATTTAAGCCTTGCCAGTATGTCTTTGGACTGTGGGAGGAAACAGGAGCACCCAGAGGAACCCCATGCGAACGTGGGGAGAACGTGCAAACTCCACACAGACAGAACCGCAGATCTGCAACTGAACCCAGGGCCAAAGTCCATAGTGTAATCTGTAAGTATGGTAATGCTACATTATCTATACCATTCTTAGCCGAATCCGCACTTGAAAACCAAAGGGTAACAAGACTGAGAAAAGAGTGAAATAAAAGTTAGCCTAGTTATCAGTTATCCTACTAGTCATTTCTCAGTTCCCCATGTAAATCAGACCAAACAGAACAGGACTCCCAGCTGTTGTGACAGTTCTCACAGTATTGGAGCAACAGCAGGAAACAATACAAATCATCACCTGTACCCTCTGTTTTAACAGTACCCAACATGGTGCAAGACACCTAGTCCATCCATCCAGAACTGCAATTTAAAACAATTGTAGTTAAAAGAGACAATATGAAACCCAGTCCCACAAGGGCACAATGAGCTGGAAGGGACTGGATGGATGGATAGCAGTGGTTGTACTGGTTGTACCCATGGAATGGGCTAATGACTTTCACTGCCTCTGCCTCTCAGCTATGCGAAACTGAAACTGAGCAAAAGGGTTAGTTTGCCTGGGTTTGTGCTTATGTTTTTGCTGTTGTGTCACTCTCCTGGCTTCAGAACACTGTATGGAACACCAGTAACACAGTCGACATCCATCATTAGAGTCCAGTTTGGGTGAAAGCAGAGGCAACAGTCAAATCTTACAGTAGGGGTGACTCGGTGCCAGTGCAGGTGTTAGTTCTATCTTCCTTTTAGTGCAACTGGAGGATGTTTAAATCGTTGATTAGTTGTTGTTTATTGCTCAATGTAAGGTCTGGAGGAAGTGTATGTTAGACTGAGAATTACATGTAGTTCTTCACCTAGAGAGTTGTAGGTGTCCGGAACAGATCAGCTAAGATGTTAAAACTGGTAGTCTGGGATCTGTCTGAAAGTAGTTAAAAGAGGTTAAAGAGGCTGCGGTGGCCAGGAAAACTAATTAAAATAAATAATAATTCGTCCCGCGTTTTAAGTGAAACCAGGTATTTGCATGATTAAAAAAATCCGAACTGGCGTCAGGCCAGTCAATCATGAAATATTGAAATATGACGCGGATATGAAGAGACAGATACAGCGCTGAACCAAGCAAGACGTCGATACGTTGAAGGACTGCAGGACAAAAGCACAGGCTTAACAAATGTGGAGCATTGTTACTTGGGATAATTCTTAGAAGCAAGTCACTCACCGTACATTAAACAGAGCACTGTGGGCAATAGCACTATCCGTAGTGCAGACATCGTTGACAGAACAGGATACACTTGTCCTTGGTGGTCTGGTTAACTTCAAACCGCGCGGTTGGTCAGTCCGGGGAAAGGCGGCGAACAATTTCACAACCTAAGCCTCGGGTTTCACTGACGTATTTATCTCAATTCTTCTATTTTTAATCCGCAAACAAGTGTTCGACACAATTTCTCGCTCGACGTGTGGGTAAGAGGCTTCCACAATGCGAAGCTTTCTTGGTATGTAGGCCTCCGTTGAGCTCAATTGACAAACGACCTTCCTGGTCATAGACGGCAGTCCTGGTCCTGCAGTCTCTGTGTCCCAGCGCTTTTACAGAAATAAAAGTGATGAATACAGAAATGGACTTTATATGCCTTCTGAAGCAGGAGCTCTTCAAAGATTGATTTTCAGATGATGTCCAGAACCAATGACGAACACACCCTGAAATCGAACATCTATTTGCCGTCAATAAATTATCTTAGGCTAGTGATTTAAAGGTCAGTACATGTACTTCGTAAACACTCATAAAAAATACACTGGCTTCAAAATGAGAGTGGTTTAAAGTTATCGGTGTCGGAACGCCTACTTATTATTTATTATACTCCAATTTATACCCTTTTTAAAGCACACGGTATTAAGAAAAAATAACTTTGCTCGATTTTTCCGAGAGGGTTCATTCTATGTAGCACCGTTTCAGCAAACCCTTTCATATGCAGGGGTTTAAAACCGCTATTGCTTCGTTTGTGCTGTAGGGAGACTCGAAATGTTACAAGTGCTGATGAGAATGAACGACATTCGCGACTTGCCCTGAAGAAATAAATAAAAGGCTTTCTGAGAGTTAGCGGCGATTGTCCTCTTCCCCCCTCGCCTCCGCTTGGTCTTAAAAATCTGCTTCACTGTCCGATCGGGCTCGCAGGCAGGTACGGTAGCTGATCAGCCTCTCTTGAGAAACAGCCAACGGCAGATCGCTGCTGCAGACGACAACATGCCTTCGCCTCTCAATTCACCTGCTCTTAAAGACAATTGACCGAACGGGCTGAGCTGGGTCGAATGGCCTCTTCTGTTTCTATAACCGGTCTGCGTTCACAGCGTGGAAAAAGCGGGGTTACCTACTGAAAACTAGACCCTAGCACAACTCAGAGGAGAGAAGGCGCCTGAGGTACATCAACAAAACAGGAGCTAGAGACAAGAGCCGGTGTCTACCTGCAGGCTGGGGGGATACTGCTCTAGATCTGCCCCGCTTGACTATGGCTGGGCTCTCCTCCGGGATCTGCTCTAACTTGGAAGGTGTTCCTACTGTACGTCAGGAGCGGATGGTTTAAGCCCAACACCGTTGTCAACATGGAGAAAAACGATCATTACAAAAATTAGTACTTAACAACGGTCTGTTGGCCCCGCTTTTACGCCCGGCTAAGTAATCACAGGTGTAAAATTCCCGGTAAAGGGCATTTAAAAAAAAAACCATTCGGGGAGTGCGATCTGAGGCTGCTCTAAAATTGCGCGGCTGAAAAGGCGATCGTTTTTTTGCTTCTTAGTAAAATACATTCGAGCTCCGGAGTCAGCATTGCGTGGCCCAACGCTCACAACCTACACGCCAAAAATGCGTGGACACAACACGATCAATCAGTCACGAATCCACCCTGCCCGCTTTCCCTTCCAAGACGAAAAAGCTTTACCGCACTGCATGGGGAGACGAAAATGGTGAGAGGAAAAAAAAAAAACCTGCACGACTTTAGCAGAAAGCCCTGGTCACACGAATTTTTTAATTATTATGATTTTTTTTGCCGTCCCTCTTCCCTGTCGAGGTATCCCGCTGTGGGTCGGGGATGTTCACTGCGGTACCAGCTAACTCAAGTCCATCTTCGAAGCCGGTCGCTCGCCAGATAAATTCGCGTCTGTCATAACGCAAAAGGCACCGGTCATTGCGGGTAAACACAGGCCACCGCAAAACAAACCGCATCTGACGTGAATTCTGCCACGGTCTCAGGGTAATCCCTTTCAGGTTGTTGTTTTTTGTGTGTCTTTATTAGAAGAAAAACAGTCCGATTTTCTAGTTAAAGCACACCAGCAGCCGTGATGACTGTGAGAGCTTTAAGACGGCTGAGGGGGAGAGAGAGAGAGAGGGAGAGGGAGAGGGAGAGAGAGAGAGGGAGGAGGAGGAGAAAGCATCGGTGATGCATTGCAGTAGCAAGAACAGAAAACAGCATCTGCAAGCACTACCGATAGCAAACGCCTCTGTAATGCTATATATATATATGAAGAGGAAAGGCATGTTTATTTTTTAAGAAACAAGATTAAAGAGAAATTCAGTTACTCAGACCACTGTATATTGCCGCACTATTTTGAAGCCTCGCGAAGGCAGATGTCTTCGACCTTGTTATAACAAACTAAGGCCGTGCATTTGAGTACAACATGATTACTGTGCGTCAAGGAACAGTTCTATGTCGTCATTAGGTATTTGGGGGGTATCTCCTCCCCCCCCCCCCTCCTCTCTTGAACACACAGACACGGCGAAGGTAGCGCAGGCTCGTATGCGTCGTTTATCACGGTGGGAGTCTAAACCGTGCCGAGCAGATGAAGGATGTTTCGCCAGTCACGCCACACACGCTCGCCGCCCCTACGGTCTCCGGACACAGGTTCCGAGCAAGACGCGAGCCGCCCCCTCTCGGTCTCAGTTCACGGTCGGATCTGACTTCAGAGTTTTTGGGTCGTGGCTGTTGCACGACCCTTTCCTAGTTTCCGAGAGCTTCTCGCACGACGAAACAGCACGCCTGTGAATTACCACGACATTTGATGAAGAGGAACTTAATTGAGTGGCAGCTATTTCAGAATTCCGTTATCCTGTGTAGTAGAAGCAATAATAATAATAATAATAATAAGCACAAATACATACTGTTTTCACTTTTAACACTGCTTATCACAGATCCCAGAAACACAGTGGCTGCCAGGGCAACTGATAAAAGGATAGTCTATCAGACCTAGCCCAATCATTAGAGCCTCTCTGATAATCATAGAACTTGGGAAGAACATGCAAGCTCCACACAGACAGACGCCCAAGACATTGAATGCAGTACTCAGAAGTTATGAGGCAGCAGTGTGAAACATCACAACCACACGCTATCCTATCTACCCTAGTTTTATGTATACCACTAGTTCAATATGTACTTACTGCTCCTGCTTGTGATAGTAAGACCATTTTAATATGATAATTACCATTACGTTTAGCAATAGATGCTGCAGAAAAAAAGGGAAAAGATTTGATTCAGGGCTTCCCAGTCTTGTCCCTGGAACACGCCCCCTGGATTTCAGTCCGTTTCTACTTTCTTTCGCTTTACCGAACTAATAATTTGAATGTTTTCGTTGTTTTCTCATTTTAAAAAAAAGATGACGTTCAGCAGTTATTTTTCTGGCGATAAATGAAAATCCTCTGTCAGTTTCCTGAATGAAGAACAGCTCAAAACGGGGCGGTTAATTCACTGATCAATTCATTAATTGGCTTTGGGGTTCAATTAAGAGGTCGGCAGGAACAAAAAGCAGCTGACACTGGAGTCACAGGAAGCTGGACTGCGAAGCTCGGAGCTCTGTTTCTGTGTTCGTCTGGCTCCTCAGTGTGCTCTGCCTGTCAGGTAGTTCCTGCAGCAGTGCAGAGCCTGATAGATTTTTACTCCATTAGAAAGGCTACCGGCCACTGTGATTGATTAAGGAAAAATCCATTTCAGTCAATTCCTTTCTGCATTTAGAAGAAAGAGAGGACGGGAGTGAGAGTGAGAGAGAGGGAGATGTCACAGCGACCTCTGTCCCGATCGCCAGCCTGTGATTTAGTGTTAATGATGAAGGAGCGCTGCAGTGTTTTCATGATGGCTCTGTTGGGCGGCCTGCCTTCTCTCCTCAGGGCCCCCTCTGCCTCGTTAAGTCAGCCTTGATCTAACGAGGAGGATAAGTCCCAGACTCCAGCCCTGAAATGCACCAGATGTGTCCTACAGTAGCTGTAGATTGCGTCTTCCTCTTGTGCTTTCATCTGTAGGACATCAAAAATGGAGCAGAAAAAATGGCTTTTCTGTTTTAAAGACAGAGAGAAGTCGTTCTTTTCTGGGGGGAGAAGTGTTCTTCTGTTCTACGAGGGGAGTCCTATACAGCATAAATAAAAGATTGTGTCCCGACTGGTGTGACTGTGTCATAGCTGAGAGTCCATCACCCTGTCATTCCCGTACAAAATTCCCTTATCTTGCATGTTATCAAAATCATTGCTTGGCTGTTTCTGGAGGGTATGCAGACACAAGCCCTGGCTACACATTGTCACCAGCTTGGGCACAAGTTTCAGTATTGCACCTTGCATTCCTTGTATCACCATCAAAAGACTAAATTGTGTTTGTTTGTTTTGTTGTTCTCAGTCTAGCTTCTAATCTGTTGTAAATATGTCACCGTCTGATATATAACCAGCTGCCCAGCACAAGCTCGTTTAGCAACCAGCTTTGTGCTTCCAGAGGTATCCTCCAAAAGTGACAAGCCGCTCCAGTTCGGCTTTTTCTGCTTTTTCTTTCTGTGGAGGGCCTTGGTTTCCAGGGGAAGAAATTTGCCGTCGCCCAGTGTTCTGAAACTCATATTCATCACATTTGCCCCCCCATGCTAAGCCGTGCTGGGGCGAGTGGTGATTTAGTTTCCATTTGCCCTGCAAGCCCTGCTGAAGCTTGTCCAGTCAAGTGGGAGAGGTGAGCGAGACGTCACTATCTCAATCGGTCCCTTTAAAAACTGACACCGGGCTTTTTTGTATATCTGAACCTTCACTTTTTAGAAAGCCAAGAAAGACAGTTACATGCACTTGCACAAATTTAGCTTCTTATGCCTGAACACTGGCTTTTGAAATCTCCTTTCCTAGCAATTATGCCCCTTGCCTGTCAGCTCATTCTGTAGGCCCACAATTAAGAGGCATCTCACCCAATTATGACCTTTAAAGGGAACTTCGTGCAGCTGTCCTGATTCAAATTGAACTCAGCAGTACAAAATGGGGTGAAAGTCACCTATGCCATCTAGCTCCTTTGGTTCCAAGTAACTCATTTATTCAAGGATCTCATCCAGTCATTTCTTGAACAAAACAGATCAGTATGTGTCAGCTGGGACTACTTGGCTGAGCATCTTTATCCAGACAAGTCATTTTGAAAGAAAGTGCCTGCAGTTCTTTGTCTTTAATATGCTTGAATCATGTGTTCTCCTCGTTGTCTCTGTCCATGACTGAAGAGATTTAGTTCCTCGATGGGGGACATTCCTTTAAGTCTCTTCATTGTCTGAGTTTAAGAGCAGCAAAGTTTTTTTTTTTAGCATAACCACTAAAATTGTACATTTTTGCAATTTTATTGCAACATTCCCCAGTTTAAATTAAGCGTTTTTAAGTATATATTCTCATCTGTTTGCATGTGTATGGCTTGCTCTCATTGATCTGAGGAAGATTTAGTTTTCTTCCTGGGTTAATAATTACAAATTGCCCCATTTCTTAAACAATGATTTCCAATTATGTGTGAGAACAGAGGTCAGTAGAGCATTGAGGTCATTAATGAGCAAGACTCTTAATATGAATGGAAAACCAAAGATTAGTTCTTTCCCTTCAGGTTAGGTGGGTGTGCAGTTCCTGTGACATTCCTCTTGATGTGACTAGGGAAATGTTTGAGTATATTTTGCCTACAAGGAAGGTCTTCATAGGGCTGCATGATGGTGTAGCATGAGCACTGTTGTCTCACAGCGCTGGGGTCTCTGGGTTACTATCTGCATGGAGTCTGCATGTTCTCCTATGTTAGCATAAGTTTCTTCCAGGTCCTCTGGTTTCCTCCCACAGTCCAAAGACATACTGCTGGTTAATGGGCTTCTGGGAAAGTTGGCTCTGGTTATGGGTTAATGAGTGTGCGAGTCTGTGTGTGTCCTGCAATGGCCTGACCTCTCGTCCAGGGTGTATCCTGCTTTGCGCCCATTGCTTCCCTGCAACCCTGAGTTGGATAAAGCAGTTAGGGAATGGATGGATGAGTGGAAGTTCTTCGTACTGGATGAACTACAGCACTGTATAGTAAGAGAAAGCTGCTTTGTAGAACGGACTTCATCTTTGAATTTCAAAGCTATAACTTTGAATTCAAACTTCGTTATAACAGGGGAAACATTTTGGGTAATCTGAAGAGTTAAATAAAAGATCGAATTGAGAGATGGAGATGGCGCTTTGGTCCATCTTGTTAGAATGTAACGCTGGCGTGTGCAGGCACCCCTTTTCTGTGAATCGAGACAGTGCTGCAAACTGTGAGCTCCTCTTAGCCTGTCCTCTGCCCCACATGGAAAAAACAAAAAAAAACGCTTGGAAAGGCTCTGCTAGTTTCTGAGGTTTTCCGGACACAGTGATCTCCCAGCTTACACAATTCTTGGTGTGTGAATGGCTCAAGTTAGATGGGAAGCAGCATCCTACGTTCCGAAAAGACCTGCCTTTAAAATAGATCAGCAGTGCTGTGACCTCCTTAGCCCCTATTCCTCAAAAAGAGCATTTGACCTTCTCCTCCACAGACTGGCGCAACAGCTGTAGCAGAATTCGCAGCGAGCTGCTGTCTGGTGCCAGTGTTGAACAGCATCAAAGAGCTCTATATGTGGGTCAAAAATCAGGAATTACGCCAGTGCGATCATTACCCATCTTCCCCCAACAGTGGCCTGACAGCACTTTAATACTCAGTCAGTGACGATGGAAGATCAGAATGATATGAATACCGAGTTATGGCTGAATTTAAAATCAAGTTTTATGGAATTTCATAAGCTGGTATATTCTATGAACAACATTACTGCATCTTGCCTATAGGGTTTGCAGACGCAAGTGGCTTGCGTTTCAGGAATGTTCAAGAGTAAAATCCATGGTAGATGAGTTTCATTATCCAGCGACTGGCAAGGTTATGACAGCGTTGTGATACGTCTCACTTTGTCTTTGATACAGGCCACATGATACAGGCCATAGGATGATCCTACCTGGAGGTCTGTGAAGGAGGTGCTGTCCTGATCAATAGATCAAGATTCCTCCAGAGGCCTGTTAATGCCAATGGTGATATTTCCTGGGAAATGATTCCTATAGCTGACTTATCCTATTTAATGTTACTGACTAACAGGTATGGACAGGTATCTTGTAGACGGTGTTGCTTCATTCATTGTTCAAAAATTATATTGGGGAACAGTATCAATAAATACATAAATAAATAATACAGTGCATTAGGTTGCTTAAATCTTTACTTTTCTCTTTTTTTCTTGCAAATCCTTCTACTCCTGCTGTCTCTTTAAAATTTCCATAAGGACATCTTAGAATAGAAAGCAGTCTGTCACCATGTGCTGTCACTAAAGTTAATGACAATAACTGTTCAGCGGCCCAGTTAATTACACCATGGGGACGGAGATTATTGTAATTAAGTATGAAGACTCTCTCTCCCATTTTCCTGTGTGCCGGTTCTCAAGTGGCATGCATAAGAAGAGCAAAAAACACTAGTGTGATCTATGAATTTCCAAAGACTTTTTCTGTCCCTAATGAATTTCTGTTCCTGCTTAGGAGTTCACGGGGACAAAATTAAAAAAAAACATCCGACCTGCTCGGTCTCACTGAATGTGTCGTCTCCACACTGCTCCCATAATAAGAAGAAAGCAACTGTGCATTCATAAAAATCAGTGTGTGTACTGTCCAAGTACCCCGATCTTACTCGCCCAGTGACACATTTATCCTTCCTCACACTGGGCTGCTCTTACATGGTACCTAAAACAACATCTTCATCAGTATCTGTGGTGTACCTTTTTATTTAAACTTATCATACACATCAGGAAAAAGGGACACATGGACCACCATTCCCACCCCTTCCCTCACCACCCAAGTTCACAAGAGTTCATGAGAGGGGACCGATTTGGCCCAACGTGTCCTTTTAAATATATAATACAGTAGCTAATTGACCCCAGCATGTTTCTTGAAAGAAGTCAGGTTATCAGCTTCAACAGCATGGCTGAAAAGACACATTCCACACTCCCACCACTCTTTGTGTAAAGTCCCGTCCTGCTTGGAGGATGTCATCCACCTGTTTCTTGAAAGAAGTCAGGGATCGGCCTCCCCAGCATGGCTGGGCAGCTTGTTCCAGATCAGCACAGTCCCTAAGGGCAAAAGTCAAAGGACCCTTTAAATACAACACAAGCAGTAGAAGCAGCTTCTAACAAGGATTGAGTGGCTCGGCAGACGCACTCCAAACCTCTGCTGCCCTCTTCAGGCACCGTGGATCCATGCAGTAAAGAGTTCCAAATATATTATCAAGGCAGACAAGGAGTCAGCGATCCCAAGGGATATGTCTGTAGTGTATTACGTGTCAAGGGATGCAGTTAATGAAAACAGAGATTACTGTGAAGAAGACTATTGGGATCTCTGTGCAGGCTATATCCGAATGTTATTGCATGTCTAGCAGTGTAGGTAATAGTAAGCAGGTACCTGTAATACTCTTGTTATATTCAGACTTTCACCGTGTGCACTCACATGGATGGAAGAGATTACACAGGATACAGTTCCTGAGGCAGAAAACATTTTGCGTGCTTAAAACTGGTGTCGGAACAAAAGATATTGCAAAGGAGGGGATGCGAATACAAAGAGGGAATTGCGCACTCCACGATTCAGAGATAATTAAAAAAAATGTTTGTTCTTAATAATTGCACACTACCTGACAATTGCTATAACAATTGCTCGTTCCAGTTGATTTGAGGTAGGGAAGTTAAGGATTACATCACGGTTGGTCGTGTGGAGCGACGCCTGTGACTTTGCAATACTATACAAAGGGCTTGTTCGTCGATCACGCAGCGGGAAACCACAGGTATTGCTGGGGCAAAGAAAATGAACACGTCTAATACTGTCGGACAGGTCTGATGAAAGGAGGAATTCTGGCGTGTGTTTGACCTGCGTCCCAGCCAGCTGCGTCATCATTCCACCCTTTCCTTCGGTACAAATTGAAAAGACGAGAGACCTCAGAGAGGTACCTGGAACTCCTTTGAAGAGGTTAGACGTCCTCCCTGTGGCAGTGCTCGGTATTACAAGGTAGGTGCGCCCAAAATAATTCACATGAGTTTCAGGCGCTAACGGGATAAATGAATATTAACTAGATCGGTTTCCAGTACACCACAAACCAGAAACGTCTCAGGGGATTAAGGTTTAGAAACCAAGTTTGCCGAGGTTTATTTTTAACACACGGTTTCGGATTTTAGCACTCCATCAACATTTGGGGTTATTTTACATTACTGCTGTACGGATTTAAATATTGACGCGTTCTGGGCTGCCTGAAATAAAAAAAAACACTGTAGCATAATACTTCTGGGATAGAGGACGTGCTTGAGTGAAGCATTCATCAGCAAGCGTTCCAAGGAGCCCTCTTGACATGTAGGATATTAAGTTGGGCTAAAAATACTACTCCCTGACTCGCAGGCAGGAATATCAGATTAAAACGGGTGTACGACTTGAATTGCTTCTGCTAGGCTTCGACCGACAGAACGGGTCAGGTTTAACGGTCCTCCAGTTCCGCGTTTTCCCGATCAGTTGAAGTCAAGACCTCACCGTCGGCGGCCTCTTGTCCAAATTTAGAGACCGGAAAAACGTGCTAAGAAAAAAAAAGGACGTTTTGTACAAACTCAGCGACTAGCCCCAGCGAGAAAGTCACCGGAGATGTTACGGGGCCCTCGGCTTTCTGTTTTGATGTGTCTCGCACTGTACGGTGAGCGACAACCTACTCTCGTCCGTCCGTCGCTTGCTTGTGTCTTTCTGACGTTCTGGACCAGTACAAATTATTAATATTACACTACGCTTGACGCAGTACTTTTACCAAAAAAGTTTTTTTTTTAATTTCACCTCGGATTCTGGACTCGGTGCTCGACTCAAGCACGTTTGGACTTCCCGCCTGCGGAGCGTGTTGCGGTTTCCCCTCGTTGTCTTTCTGTTCCTTCTTGTACCTTTGTTCGCTCTCTCTCTCTCTCTTTCCACTTTTCCCACTCCTCCCTTCTCCTGCTGTCTCCGTTCGGCCTTGGCTACCCTCTCCTTTCGCTTTCTTCCTCTCCTTCCCTTCGTCTCTTCGTCTTCCTCATCTCCCTCTCCCTCGGTCCTCGCCCTCGCTCACATTCCCATTCAGATTGAAGTGATAGTCTTCCTCATTGGCACAGCCGGTGAATTACAGTTGCCAAAGCAGAAACGATTCATTCAGCGTTTACAGACATTTACCGTACAAACACGTTATCATGTTTACAGACATCACATAAAAGATAAAATAATTTTGAGAGACTGGCTCACTGTTCCTCAGACTGTGACAGAAGATCACATACTGGGCACTGGGCTGCAGCTCTGTTGAGTTTCCTTCTGCTTCCCTCGGTAGGATTGGAATGCCAGGATTAGATTTGTTATTTTAGGGAAGAAAGTTTGTCAAATCCCAGAGAATTGCTCACTGTGCTGAGAATAGTCTGTCTCTACCTCTTCTTGCAGGTAGTATGAGCACAGCCTGTCCTCTCTGGGCAGCCAGGTCTGCCTGTGTCCAGTGTGTGTGTGTCCAGGCTGTGGTCACTGAGCCTGTCCTCTCTGGGCAGCCAGGTCTGCCTGTGTCCAGTGTTTATAGTCAGGCTGTGGTCACTGAGCCTGTCCTCTCTGGATAGCCCGGCCTGCCTGTGTCCAGTTTCTATGGCCAGGCTGTGGTCACTGAGCCTGTCCTCTCTGGGACACACCGGCCTGCCTGTGTCCAGTTTCTAGGGCCAGGCTGTGGTCACTGTGGTCACTGAGCCAGTACTTTGTCGGAATCTGTTTCTCTTCGCCGTCTCTGATCCGGGCGAGGTACAGTACGCAGCTCTCTGACCTGGGTAAGACTCGGCTTTCTCTCCTTCCCTCCTCCTCAGTGAGTCAGGGCTGGTGTGGCTGTGTGGAGGTAGATTCGAGGACCGAGGCAGTGACTGGCCACGGCTTCAAACTGGGCTGCATCTCCTGCAAGAGGCGAGGAGAGGTGGCGGCGTCTGCGTATGTGGAGTGGTACTTCCAGGCGAAAGGAGAGTCCGACTTTGTCCAGGTGAGCAGCACCTACCCTAAGCAGGAGGGTTTTTAGCACAAATCCAAGACTTAGTCCCATCAAAGTCGGTTTGTTGCCCCCCTAGCGGGTAGAAGCTGAAATTAAGAAACCCTCAAATTAAGATAAAATAAGATATGATAAGATCACTTTATTGGCCACATACAATTTCTTGTATCAGGAATTTGTCTTTTCGCATACCCCAGCTTGCTCTCCATGAGACACAGACAGGGAGAGAAGCTTGGGGTCAGAGCGCAGGGTCAGCCATTGTACAGCGCCCCTGGAGCAGTTGGGGTGAAGGGCCTTCCTCAGGGGCCCAACGGAGTAGGATTCCATTACCGGCTGTGGGATTTGAACTGGCAACCTTCCAGCCACAGGCTCAGATCCTGAGCCACAGAGCCAGCGCTCCCCCCCTCACAAATTAGCAAGCATTGCTCATAAAATGGTATTCTTTCCCCACTGAACTTTTTTCTAACTTGTCTTCCAAACATTTCCACTATATACTGTCACCACATGATCGCATTAATTAGTATGGCTGCTGATTCATTCTGCAGAACTTTACTGCAAAAACTGCATTGTGGAGAGAACAGATGTGGTGCAAATAAAAATGTTTACAGCAGTGGTTGACAGTCCTGGTTCTGGAGGGCCCGTGTGTCTGTATGTCTGTTCAGGATTCCCCGTCTGTATGGAGATTCACCCCTGCTGTTTTCAAGAAATGCCCTGGGATTTTTAATAAGTCAGGACCTGGGTTTTGTCTCTTCCACTGATACCTCTCCCAGTAGCAACCTCAGCTTTCCCAGGAGTACTGGCTCACACCTTTTGAGCTCCAGTGGGCTGCCAGCTGTGAGTTACAGGGTGATACACTGTAGTTGCTGGCTATAATAAATGTTACAGTGGTATTTTGTGTGTGGCATATTCTCCTCCACCTTGCATAAACTGTTTCCCGGCGGGAATCGCGTCCTTCCGTTCGGAAGCATCCTCACCTGCAGCGATGCAGCTGGTGCCCCTGTGTCTCTGTGCTTCCTGGCTCCCGTCCAGATCTACGAGTACAGAGACCAGACCCCGGCCATCCTGCACGAGCAGTTCCTGGAGCGGCTCGCCTGGAACGGCAGCAAGAGGACGGACGACCTCCAGGACGGGTCCCTGTACATCCTCAACGTCACCCTGAACGACACGGGCACCTACCGCTGCCACTTCTACCGCACCCTCTTCCTGCACATCCAGGACCACCACACCAACGCCACCAAGCTGGTCCAGCTCTCCGTGGTGGAGGAAGGTCTGGACGCCGTTCCTGGGCTCGGCCGTCACCTCCGTGTCCTGCCTTGCGCCCGTTGCTAGCTGGGATAGGCTCCGGCTCACCTGCAGCCCTGTAGTGGGTAAAGAGCTTAGAAAATGGATGGATGGTTGTTGACTATACAGTGCTGGCCTTGCTGGTTTCATCCATCCACCCAGTTTCTATCCTCTTCTTCCAGCTGCTTACAGGGGAAGCAGCTGCCGATCCTGGCAAGCAATGGGCCCCAAGGTGGGTACCCCCTGGACGACACGTCAGGCCATCGCGGGGCGGACAGACACAAACACAGAGACACACGCCCACACCAGGGCCAATTTTCCCAGAAGCCAATTAATCTCCCAGCATTTCTTTGGACCATAGGGAGAAACCTTTGTGAACACGGTGAGGACATGCAAACTCCACACATATGCACCTCAGCTCCAAGGGCTGCAAGATAGCAGAGATAAATACTTTGCCACCATGCCTTCCCTGATATTTTTATTTTAAAGTATATTTTAAAGAGCTGTGAAACCCTCACAGGTTTCGCATAAATACCATGGTAAAGTGTGCACTTCCTATGGTCAATTCAGGAACGTAAGAATACTTTCGAATGAGAGAAGGTCTGTCAGCCCAGCGAGTCCATGTGGTAGTTAGCTAGGTAGTAGTAGTTAGGGTTTCGGCTTCAACAGCTTGTTCCACACTCCCACAACTGTTTGTGTAAAGAAGGGCCTCCTGTTCTCCGTTTTAAATCCACTCCCACGTAGTTTCCATTTGTGCTTCAGTGTTATTCTGGAGAAACCCACTAGGTTGACTTTGTTAGGGCCTCCGAGGATTTCAGATGTTTGTATCGGGTGCCCTCTGTTCACGGCCATGGGTCTCGAACAAGCCAGTTCCCTCTTCCTGTCTACACGGACGCTGAAGTGTGCACCCCAACACTCTCTAATGCAGGAGCAACGTGAGGGTAGGGAATGAGCCGCTTGGACTCTGAAATCTGCGGCGAATGTTTCTCTCCCTGCCCAGCTAACCGGGAGCTGACGTCGATCATCTCTGAGGTCTTCATGTACCTGTGCATCGTGGGTTTCCAGGTCGGCATTGTCCTGGTGCTGGTTCTCTGCTATAAGAAGACCGCCGCGGCCGCAAGAGAGAGCGAGAGAGAGAAGGAGTGAGTTCTCTGCACCCCACATCCGACACACGCGGAGGTCGCCTTCACAATCGCCCCCTTGACAGAGCTAGACAGAGTGAGTCCTGCGCCCAGTCCTTTGGAATGAAGGAACGCTTCTTCATTTCCTGTGGGGAGGCTCACTGTGTGAAGACACACTCTTTCGAAACCGTTTGAGACCATGTTTCTGCTCTTTATCACTCTAATTCTTTGCAATATCAAAAACGTCATTTCCACTCACACAAAGAGGCTTCTTTTGAGCTTCGCTGGTTTACTTCTTGTGCACACAGGGTGGGAAGGTGGGGTTTTGTTGGATTGCACCTTCAGCATTTTAGTCTCTGTAAAAGATCTTTGAGCCTTTGAACACGCAGACCTTTGAACCTTCAAAAATGAAGGAATCAGCATTTTAGTCTCTCTTTGCAGACCCTTGGACAGCAAAGACAACTGTGCTGGGATCCAGGTGGATGAATAGGCCAGAAAGAACTGACTATTGAAGATCGAGGTAAGAGCTCTCATTTAGCGACAGTCAGGACCATCTGCCATGTCTGCTCCCTAATTCCCAATCCAATAGCTCACAGACAACCAGTGTAAAGAATGGCCAGACTTTGTCTCTGGAATATTGTTATCATAGGGCATCCTATCATTCCTGGGGACCCACACCACCTACTGGTTTTCATTGCAGCTAAGCCCGTTATTAAAATGCATCCTTATTTGAAAACAACATGTTGCTGGGATGTCACTTTGCAAGCTTTTTTCCTACTCAAAGGTTGGTTGGTTCTTACGAAACATGGCAGTTAAAAGGCAGCCTCCTACATCAATGTCTATGGACTGAAAGCAATGTGGTGAAATGAAAGCTATTAATAGGTTAATTGATTTGACTGAGTGCTCAGGTGAACAAATGCAAGCAGATGTGGGGGTCCCCAGGAAACGAATTGGGACCCTCTGGGCTTGTACACTTCAGTAGGTTAGTAGCTACCTATTGGCACAATGCACTAGGATTATTAATCATTATTATGGAATCAGTTCTCCTGTCTCTGCCCAGAACCCTGCAGAATATAAGGTTTTTGTCCCACAATATGGCTGATATTATTTTATTTGCTTTTTTATCACAGGCACAAGAAGCTACCATAAGCCATCCTTGTTGTTTTTTTTTAATCTGCATGAAATACAGTATGTGATTATCGTCCTGGAAAACTGTGGTTGGTGGGATAGTTTCTGTTTTTAAGGTAGACTTTGCATTGATCCAACCTCAGCAAGAGGTCGGTGCTGCACAGATGTTTCATAAAGAATAACACACACAAGCTTACCGTTATTACCGTTTTATTATAGTCACTTATGGCTCCAAGTGAGCATGCTATGCTTCCCCTGAAAAACAAAACAAATTTGTAAATGCCATTTTTATAGGGTTTTATGGTGACATAGTGGTCAGCATTCCTGCTTCACAGCCCTGGGGCCTGGGTTGACATTCCAGACCCGGTCTGCTGTCTGTGTGGAGTCTGCATGTTCTCACCGGTTTCACATGGGTTTTCTCCAGCTGCTCTGGTTTCCTTCCACAGTCCAAAGACATGCTGGTGGGTTAATAGGTTTCTCGGAATGTTGGCCCTGGCCTGTGTGTGCCCTGTGATGGACTGGTGTCCTGTCCAGGGTGTACCCAGCCTTGTGTCCATTGCTTGCTGGGATGGGCTCTGGCTTCTGCAACCCTGAATTGGATGAAGCATTGGATGACCTTGTCCTGTCAAGTGGGTTTTCCTGCAGTCTAAGTCATAAGGTCTTTTTTTTCTCCCTTGTCATGAGTTAGATAGGAGAGTGAGTGAAAAGAAGCATTTTGTACCAACATCGTAAACAGTATTATCCGTCTAGATCAATCACATTCAGACCTGTTTCTGCTGGGTCTTCACATGTCCATTCCACCCTGGATTCTTAATGACTTGATCTGAAGCAGTCATTCAAGTAATTGGTCTGTAGCTCTTCACTCATCGAGGATTATAAGTGACCTATAAAACCTAGTGAACTTCTGCTTTCAGAAGCAGGAGAGAATCTAGAACCAAAATGTTCCATACTTACATCCTCATGACATAAAGCTAGAAATAAAGACTCTTTTAAACACGTCATTAGTTCCCACTGTCTTTGTTTTCCTCCAGAGAATTCTTTCTAATTAGATGCTGCAGCACTTGACCATGTAGGCCCTTATAATCAATCTTGTGTGCGCCCTCTTTAGACTGGGAAGGCCTGATCTCGTTTTGCTATCATTACCTAAATTAAATTCTGAAACCTCAGGTGGTTGATAGAATAAGGTTGCCTGTTTTAAATTACCCAGTTAATGTTTAGCAGTGCTTTTACCTTGGGTGTCGATTATATAGTTCTGCTAGAAAAGCCTTTCACACATGAAATTAAATGCATGTTTGGGTTGCAGGCTTATGCTGGTGTTTAATCACTTCAACGGTTTAAATTTGGCACCTTTTTGCTGATGTGATCCATCTCTTTGTACAATCTGAGAACTAATAAACCACCTTCATAACAGTTTCTTTTTCTCACTGACTTTTTCCCATAATCTCTGATTATTCTGTTGCTTTTGTACTGAAACTGGGCTCATGTGGAGGGGTATGTAGTTCTTTATCGCACGGTACAGTAGTAATATTTGCAAATGTACGCTGCAAGCGCATTTTATGAGCCGATTTAATAGATACTGATTAATTAAAGTTCGATTTTTTTTTCTGGAGGGGGCAATGAGAGTGTCATGTTGAACAACAGCACCAAAAATTGAAGAAGCGCAGAAGAGTGGAGCTTTTCGCATTTATTGCATGAAAATATCCCCCATTTCATTTGCAAAAAAAATGTAAAACATCACGTTAAAAAAAATTCCAATTCTTTGGATTTCACAGTGAGTCTCACAAGGTCCGCCACTCTTTTGAATTCCAGACTTACAAAAAAGCGTGATCCTTGCTTGTCAGTTCTGGGAGTGAAATATCAGATATACTCACAATACTGGCCCATGTACACTGTACATTTCCTGACCAAAACAAAACCTAATGTCCTCATATGTCTAAACAAACGCAGACGATCACAAAGCTGATTGTACTTAAGACCTGACATACTCTGGAATGATTAGGAATGCACAACACAGGGTACTGTAATATAACTGGCCTACAGGGGATGGGTCTCCCAGTCCTAGTGCTCAGGACATTGTGACTCTAGTTCTGGTTGCAGCTGAAATATTTATTCCTCAAGCTTGTTTGTCATGTTGATGTGGGCTGAACTCTGATCAGTCTGTTCTCAGCTTTCTGAAACTGCCCTCTTTAGAGCTCTTAATAGGTTACTAATCAATCTTGTGCAGACGCACGTGGGCAATGTCTTGATGAAAACCACGCTGGATCTGCATGGGGCCCAATCGGTCACGTTCCTCCACTAAGGAGACTAAGGCCCTCTCAGATTCGGCACAAGGATACCAAACACCTAGCTAACATTAGAAAAAACGCGGCTCGGGTCAGCTTGAAAGCAAACCAGATACTACAGATCAGCACAATGCCCAGCACTGTTGTGCCAGGGGAGGCCACACCTGGCTCTTAAGGGGCAGAATTCTGCAGCATTCAGTAATATTGTATTAGTGAGGTGTAACGGAAAGCCATTCTCTTAATGAAGACATTGATTCTGAACCTGAGAATAGGATATACTCTGACCCTAAAGGGCGGGGTGTGGTCAGCCCTGGTCTGCGACTGGGAAGGGGGAGTTGGTGTCTAAGACTGGATTCACTGTCCCATGAGGTCAGCGATCAGAAAGGGCTGCTGCTCAAGCAGTATCTGGTAGAGTATGCGCTTGCCTCTGGCCCCAGCAGACAGTATGGGCCCTTGAAACAGCCTCCTCATTTTCTCCTGGTGGGTGGGGGCTGCCAGGATGCTGTTGTACATCTCCGTGTTGAGGATTCCCCTCACCAGCAGTTCATCCAGGAGGGGCTCCACCTGCGTCACCCTCTGTATGAAGTCATTCCGATGTTTCTCCACGAAATTCACTTCTGTCCCAAAAGAGATGGGGGGAGAAGAGAATATCAGGTGTGTTTGGTCAGGCCGGCACAGAAAAGGGTTGTAGGCCCATATTATTCCTTTCCGAATGTTCCTTTTGGATTTATTGCACCCGAATGCTTGGGATATGGTGAACATTTCGGGGGAAAAAAACTGAGAAATTTGGAAATAGCGATCTCGTGATTGAGCATTGGTTAGGAACGTCAGTACAATTCGCTCCAATATAATATTTCTTAATAAAAAAGTTACAATTTTAAGACTCTGGGTGGAGAAGACGATTTCTTATGCAAATAAAGTAGTATCCTGCTGACTCATCATAACTGAGAAAGAGTATCATTTAGCTACAGAAACCCTGTCCACATAGCCTGGGGGGGGGGGTTGAGATTTTAGGTAGGAATAAGTCTAGGGGTGGCTGGTTCTCTGTTCTCACCATCCATATTGATGGGGATGGCTGGTGCACTTGATGGTGCAGCTGGTTCTTGGCAGGTGCCTCCTCCTGTAGCGGATCCACTGGGGCTGATGTCTCCCACCACTGCAGAAATCACAGAAAGCACAGTGAGGCATTCATCCTTACTGTCCAGCACCTGCCTCTAGTTATAACACAGCTGGAATACGCGGCTCAAGTCTCACTAGAACGGCATAGTCTCGGGTCCACGTGACCTCTGGAGCAGTCCTGCTGCATCTCGCTGCAAACGGAGTTCTGACAGGAGCGGGACCTGCTCGCATTCACGGATTGCCAGTAAGCCCTGCGGTAACATGATACAAATCTGGTTGCTCTGCACGTCAACATCGCTCTTACCCGCAGGCTTGGATTCGATATTTTAAGAGATTTTCCTTGCTTTATGGGATGCAGTTTAAAGAATCATCTTGTAAATAAAAACAGGAAGACTACTTTTATGTTTTGAAAAAAAAACTTTCGATTCACCAAACATGGTTACACTCACCTTTAAACATGTTTCTCCAATGTAACCATCTGACGTTTTACTGGAGGCAGATAAACGTAAGGTGATTTGGATCCGTTCAGTTTATTTGTAAGCAGGTTATTAAGTTACAAACAGACAGGTTCTAGACGGCCATTTTAAGATATTCAATATACTGTAGCATGTTAGGTCCGCGTACAGGCTGAGTTACGTACTCTATTGACCTGTCGGCTGGCGATGCGGCTTAGTTCGTGGTCATTAGTTGTTGCTGCTATCTGGAGAGCAAGGCTTTGTGCTAAACGTGCTCACTTTGGGCGACCAGTAAGTAATGTCTCTTTGGGGAGCCGCGAAATGCACAAAAAATAAGAAAAAGGAAGAGGAATGTGGAAAATGTGGAGAAGCGATCATTATCTAAAGCGTTATGTGATCGCTGAAAATAACTTTACAGCGTCTTTGGATTTTGCTGAAGTTATAAAAGTGTTCGTCAGGGGAAAATCAAGAAGAAATCTGTTTAATAATCGTTGTCGTATAATTTAATATATGTTATTCAATGTAATTTCCCACTAACACACTAAGTATTTCCCACAAATAAATTCAGTTCCTCAAACTGTAATGTTCGGATACAGACGGAGGGCTGAAGTAAACAGCTCGAAAGCTGTTGTAGCAAGACAATCATCTTACAATAATATTATAATAATATTCCACCATCCGTGTTTAATATCTGAAAAGTTAGAATTAAACGAAGGAATTTTATTTAGAACATAGATGCGCGCTTGTTGGCCAGGCTCGTCTCCAACACATTTACGAAGCCCCGCTTTGTCCCTCGCAGGCGATTACAGAATCGAGAATGTTAGATTGTGGGAGAAAAGAAAAACGTTCCTACACTGTAATTCCATCCAATCCTTTGCTTTCTGGACTCTTGTGAGGTTGGAATGCTTACTTGAAAAGAAACAGGACGCTAGAGTACAGTTCCAGCCTGTGAGGACAGAGTGCAATCGCGTCTCGGAGAGGCACATCGTCGAGGCCATCGCTGTGACGTCACGAAGCAGGGCAGCCCCGAGTCAGAACTATGAGGTTCCGCGTCACGGAGACACGAGTAGATATATATACACGGCTATTAGGTCAATTATTGTGAAAGACAGGGTAGAAATTCTGAATGAATGAAGAAGAAGAAGAAGTTGCTACTCTATTGTAAAATGTACAATCCATTCACGTTTCACATTCTGCCCTGTAGTTCCTTTTTTAAAAACAAATGGACAGAAGATTATACAACAAGCCGGAACAGACCGGAACCGAAATGTACATAACACTTTTGCGTTGTTTTTCGAACCCGGAAAAGTGAAATGCACTTTAGAGGATCCATTTGCGACGGAGGGAATGTGCTTTCCTTAACCCATTCGGTGCAGAACAGCATTTTTTTGTTGTTGTTGTTGTTTTCAACTGAAACGGAACCGGCAAGCACGCTTCCGAGGGTGCAAACTTCATGACTTTGATGTGCTGTATATACCGTAGTACGGATTCGCTGGATAAACACGGCGCGAAAGAAATAACTTACCGGCAAGACCTTTAGATCTGCATCCAGGGCTAAATCGCTTCCAAATAATTGCTCACTAAATGTCTCCCTGTCGTCCCTTTGAGTTCTCGGTTACGCGTGCTGTGCGCGGTACTTTGCCGCTGTCGATAAGCAAATCTTCAGATGTGATAGTTTCTCTTCCTGTTTAGTGACACCATGCCCTGGACACCGAGCTTTTTCATTTACCAACCTCACAAATTATCGACCTTAAGCCTGGTGCACTTCAGATCCTTGTGTGTGTGTGTGTTTCGGGTTTTGCAAATTATTTTTTTAGGCCATAAAGAACTCGACGATGAACGAAATCGAAAGTAAGCACGTTTCCTACTCGATAACACGTTGAAGAGAAGAAACAAATTGTATAACCTTTCCCGGGGTTTCGCAGCCCGCCTACTTACGCGATTTAGTTTTGTCGCTGAGTGTGGTGGCTAGGTGGTTCTCGCAGATGTCCCTCAGAACTTCTACCGTGACCCGGACAGCCCCGTCCACTCTGAACGTGCTGACCAGCCTGTTAGCAAGATCCAAGGCGTCGGCATCCTGGATCTGCCCTTTCCGGATTTTTGGCTCCCCTGGGCGATCGCACAGTTTGGTCCGAAATTTCTTCAGCCCCTTGTCATCCAGTTCCTCCAAGGTGTCGATGATGTGGTCCTTCAGGGATTTGGCCATCCTTCCTGAAGCTCCGTGCGCGGGCGAGTGTGTTCTGTGCAGAAACAGAACTGCCTGCTCCACCCTTCTCCTTCCTCTCTCGCAGGTCTGCGTTTCTGACTTGAAGGGGACTGGCTTTGTGAAAATAAAATGTATCTAATACTCCACTGCAATGAAACACCATCCGAGGTGAAGATAAACGGAAAACACCGCAGTTTTATTCAAAAGTTGTTGGTTTCTCGGGCGCTACAGTCTGGCTACATTTAGTTACATTTTACCACACTTTTATAGGAAAACCTTTTTTTAATCCTGCTCTTCTGCTGAAGACAGTTCATGAAATCACAACCAATTGAAAGCGACGTGCACCTAATTTTTTTTAGGAAGGATCACGCATGTTTAACGGTTTTAAGAGTTTGTCCATGAACGAAATAACAGTGAAACCGCCTGTAAGTAACTACTGTCGTGATTCGGTGTTGGTAGACAGATTCACCCAGCAGTGTGTAACAGATGTGCAGTCACTTTTACAGCGGAATACCCCCGTCTTTATTAATGGATGCATGAGGCCTAGCGTTTCTTACAAATCTCAAATTCTGAGCATGTTCTCAAGTTTAGGAAACAAATATACTGTATGTGATGAAACTGAAAGCAAAGGGAACTCTCATTCGATTCAGGGTTTTAAGCCCTGTTTAAACTAACCCACTGAGAAAGCAGTGTTTTGTTTTGTTTTGTTTTGTTTTGATCTGGACGTATCACACACTGGTGTCCTTCAGGATGGGATTCACCAGCTCGTGAAGACCGATAAAGACATTGACAATATCATTATTATTATTTTTTTTTTTAATAAAAAGCCGAAGTACGCGTACACACACACATTAGTCTGAGCAGGGTCATTACCGTCTGTGTAGAAGACTACAGATCATTTCCCTTGGGTTTTGAACTTCTTTCATAATGCCCTGGCAGCTACTGTATGTGCCAACGCCCATTCTGTTTCAGCAGTTCAATCATTCATCAGGTTTCTGATTTATACTTTCAGACCGGAACAATCGAACGAGACGATAACAGTGGCCCCGAGTCCGCGGGTGATCCAGGCCGACGATTCGGCATTACTGTCCCATCAGGTCCTCCATTAGAATGGGCTGCTCCTGCTCCAAAATCCTACAGAGCTCATCTTTCCCCCTTTTACCGCAGGTCACCATGGGGCCGGTGAGGAGCGCCCTCATGCGGCTGGCGGGGGTGCGTTCTTCCAGGATTAAGCTGTACTCTTCCTGACTGACGTATTTCTTGGTCAGGAGGGCGTCCAGGATCGGCGCCACCATGGTGACCCGCTGGATGAGGGCGGACCGGTGTCTGTCCACAAAATGGACTTCTGTTGACGCAAAAAAGAAACGTGTTTTTTTTAAAAAAAAACAACAACAACAAATACTTCATGACGGCCGTATTTTAGCTCGCGTGTCTTGGTGCCTAAATATGTGGTTAAACATGATTTCAAAATAGGCCTTAGGTCAGCTGCGAACATAGGAAGGAATAGCGACCTCTGCAATATCAGAAAAAGATATTCGATAGTTTTACTGGGCCTCCCAGTGGAAGTAACACCTAGTAAACTTGTAGTAGTAGTAGTAGTAGTGGTAAAACTATGAGTACAAAATATCGTGTTTGTGGAGAGGTATTTGTATGTTTAGTTCACTCGTTGTTTTTAGGTTTTTTAGCAGTCTTAGCTTTTAACACCGCTGTCTCCGTGTGTCCTGGGGTGATAGGGTATGAATCTCGCACCCCTCTCCGCCTTCCTGGGGTTCAGATCTCACCGT